AAATCTCAATATTTTATCCCTAATTCCTATTTAAAATTATAGGTTTGTTCCAACCGGTAGTAATTTCCAGTAATATTACTGGCACACATGCGCAATTGTGAAATGCTGTTCCAACCAGTTAAAATTACTAATTTGGAATTGGCGATAATTGATAGTTCGTCGTTCCAACCGGAGTTACGGATAGTAAAATTGCGGTTCAAACGATTCTTGCTTGACTGGAAGAACTGTTGGTTCTAAAATTAGACGCATGCGTAGTGAGGTCGAAAACGGGTCAGTGGTTGAACAACAATGAACATAAATAATAATACATAACCCAGAACCTCAGTTTTTTGTTTATTTAAATTATTTATTTGAAAATTACTGCTACAGAAGTTAAGTAATTTTATTTTATTTGTTCTCAGAGTTAATAAATCTGATTTTTGTCTTATATTAGGTTTAGAAGAATTCCTTATTGTGGTGGAAGATGATTCACCTGCAAGTATGCAAGTTATGTTGATTTTGTTATTTTCATCTTGTGTTGTGAGTACTACTAGTTCAAAAAACGTTCCAACAAGTTTTTAAGTTATTTAGTATAATATTACTGTTTTTGATTGCGCAGTCGCATTAGCGCGGTTACGGACGATAATATTACAGTAATATTATTGCAGGTTGGAACAAACCTTATAATTCACAAATTACACTTTCCAAATTTCGATATTTTAATATAATTTGGAACAATCTGACAACATTATTTCAAACAATTCCGCGCCTCCATGACAAAAATCTGTTCCTTGCCCGCAATTTTACCATTAGAAGTCGACCGGAGGCTTGACTCTCATATTATTATGCTTCCCTAAAATCTAGCATTCAAATGGACCGCGAATCTCAGCGACCAATAGAAATGCCGGAAACATGTCGAACCATTCTGGCGTTCAGGCACTATCGGGTCGCGGAGCGGCTAGCCGCAACCTTTGATTGCAAGGATGGAAACTGCCATCGTTGCTTTTTTATCTCTTTTTTATGCATTCGGAGTTCCATGTCACTTCTCTATTCGGAAGTCGTAGACTGTTGATTGATATTTTTTGTCGTCAGGTGCATTTCAAATTATTGTGTATCTTTCGTGGATTTTATATACCAATGTATTTTTTATTTTTCGTCAAAATGAATTTTTTAGCGTTAAAACGAATTAAAACTTACTCTCGAAGTACCATGTCCCAAAACAGACTAACTAACGTATCTTTTGTTTCAATTGAAAAAGAATTTGTACCTATCCAAAAATGTGCGAATATGACCAGTTTTATGAAGAAGTACCTAATAGATTATTTCGCGAATAAAAAAAACCGACGAATTCCGCTCATTTTTAAAATCCAATAAACTGCATTGATCAAAACGAAAAAGAAGCACTTCAGTAATTTAATATAACTTTATTTATTGCATTAAAAAGAAAAATTTCTGTTTTTCCAGCAGACACGCAATTCCATATGAAACCAATGAAGGCCCAAGGCCCCAACACACTACGATGAAACATGACGGTTTTCATCGCCGAGATGAAACACGTCGTTCCAAAACTGAAGTGTGTGGTAGAAAACCGTTGTGTTTTTCTAGCACACACTTCATTATTTATCCAATCTACATCAAAATTTGGGGCATATTTCGGAAAATATGATCTATTGACGAAGAAGAGTTCTTTAGTTTATCAGATAGTCCTGAAGAAATTGATAGTTCACCTCTCAGGTTAATTACTCAGCATGCGAATACGGAAAATATATACTTATGACGTTTCTTTTCTTGTCCCTTTATGGTTTTTATTGAATTTCAGATAAATTCTTGAGGACGTAGACACTCCCAAAAAAAAAATTGCCTGCTGCCAGTGGTTACCGTAGTTCATTATTATTTTTAACCTCCTCACTTGAAATAGTCACGAGCCGCCACTGCAAATGTCATTATTATACGAGGGTCAACCTGTCAAATTTCCATGGATAATGCTACGCCAATAATAAGTGAAAAGCATATATGTATTATAATGAAAAAAAAAAAAAATATATGTGACAACACAACGTGAGAATGACAATACTAATAATTACAGGTTCTATAAGTAATAACGAGGTGATAATTAGGTGAACACAACTAACTTATTATAGCAAGAGAATAAAACTCAAATAAAGTCTGTTTTTTTTAAGATAATTCCCCAAGTCAAAAATTTAGTAACTATGTTGGCAATACAAGCCTTTTCTACATAAAAAATTTGAAAGCATTGACAATTTTACATTGTATTGCCAACATAATGTCATTTTGACTTTTATCTTTAAAAAAAAAACAGATTTTACTTTAATACTTAAGCTGGGTTCTAGCAGAAATTTAATTTAATTTTATATAAACATAATTTAAGATTTAATATAATTTTACTTTGTGGCGTTCATACAGTAATTTTTTAACTGATATAGAAAAATGTCATTATCCGTCATCTGCCTTGTCAAACTGATGAAAATCATTGATCAACCTCAAATTTAATTTAATTTAATTTTGAAAGATAAAAGTTGGCCAACTTTTAAATTAAGTTAAAAAATGTCTGTTAGAACCCACCTTTATTCTTAACAAAAGTGTCGTTTTTCAATTTCAAGTCGTGTGTGTGAATGTTTAATTCAAGTTAAATATTGCTCGCAGTTTTACCTCTCACCGATCAATTTATTGTGAAAAGAATGCTCACAAATATACAGGGGGATCAGAAAGTCCTTTTCATGATTTCCATTTGGTGGAATGTTATTTATCTAAACTAAACTCTGCCTTCACACTTAACGAAGGCTTAGGAGTTCTCCAATTTATCCTTCAACAGACCTCGCCACAACGGTAAGATATTGACGAGTTTAATCCTATTTGAACAGGAAAAATTACGTTTACGAATACAATTTTGTTTCTGTCGTCGAAAGTCAACATTCTTATTTAATTTTAATTGTTGAAAATACAACCCATGTTGGTATGACCCATGTGATATGTCTCCTACTGATATGGCGAGGAGAGTATGTGAGAAGACGAGGTCAAGGCCAAGGTAGAAAACGGTCAACCACGGCCAGAGATGACAGATTTATTGTTTTGCAAACATTACGGAACAGGCGTAGAACACAAATAAAAAACGAACTGGAAGAAGTACGTGGAAGGAGGACAAGTCATCGAACCATCAGCAGAAGGCTTAAAGAAATTGGTTTGAAGGCCTATAGAACAAAGAAAACTTCGAAACTTCAGCAGCGTCATCGAGTGGCAAAACTACGCTTCGCTAGGGAGCATGAAAATTGGGAATATGACCATGAATCGGACCAACGTTCTTTTTACAGATGAGAGCCGCTTTTGCATTAATTCGATCGATGGCAGGGAAAGATTATATCGCCACCGAGGAGCACAAAATAAACAATTCAGTTTTACTGCTACTGTCTCCTATCGTGGAGGGTCAGTAATGGTCTGGGGTGAAATATGTTTAGGGTCACGAACAGAATAGGTGGTCGTTAATGGCGGATACATACGAGATAATCTGCAACAGCATGTCGTACCATTCCCCCCCATACCGGAGAAAACTTCCTGCTAATGCACGACAATGCTCGCCCTCACGTGGCACGCCGTGTCTCCGACTTTTTCAATATCGTCGTAATAAGAGCAATGGATTGGCCTGCATATTCCCCAGATCTTAATCCGATCGAACATGTCTATAACATGTTAGGAACACGATTAGGGTCCAGAATTCCTGCAGTTCAAAATCGCGAATAAGCAGCAGCTGCTCTGGTTGCATGAGGAAACGAATGACTGCTGTCATAAGGGCGCGTGGAAGCCACACGCGTTATTGAAACATTAATTTTTTCCGATCCGCCGTTTTGAATCATTATTGTTCGTAAAGTTATTATTATTGTGATTTTTTTTGCCAGTGATGGTTCCCAAGTCTACAAAATATAAAAAACACTTCAACTTGATCCTTGTTTTAAGTTGCTGTCAAGGTGAAAATTCGTGATTTCACTTGAACAAATAATAATGAATTCGTCAATATCCTACCGATATGGCGAGGTCTGTTGAGGGGTGAATTGAAAAAGTCCTAAGCTTTGGTTAAGTGTGAAGGGAGAGTTTAGTTTAGATAAATAACATTCCACCAAATGGAAATCATGACAGGGACTTTCTGATTCCCCTGTATATTTGTGAGCATTCTTTTCACAATAAATTGATGATAAGAGGTAAAACTGCGAGCAAGATTTAACTTAAAGTAAACATTCACACACACGACTTGAAGTTGGAAAACGACACATTTTCATATCCAATTCGTATGTCGACGTGGAGAAAATTAAGGTCAATATCCACCTTTTCTTCGAAACTCTGTATTTTCAATAATATTGAAATATCAGAGTGAATAAAAAATGAAAATGTTCGGAAAAGTTCAGGCTACAATTTGGTGTTGAAAACTATTCTGAATTTCCACTGTTTTACTGCACAGGGTGTCTCAAAAAACTCTGAAAATTACTGACTTTCCTTCCATCCCTGTATATGATATAAAGACGAATCATTTAATAACGGTAATACATCAGGGCCCGTATTCTCGTCACCGGGGAGCAGCGTTCTCTCAAGAGAACGATTGCTCTGTCTTAGTCACCCATATTGTTATTTCCATAATACTGACAAAGACAGAGCAATCGTTCTCTTGAGAGAATGCTGTTCCCCGGTTACGAGAATACGGGCCCAGATGTATTCCTGAAGAATCAAGTTACAATCTGTAAAAAATTCATCGAAATCGAGCGAGTAAATTTTATCCGTACCCCTAATTTTGCTGGTGTTTAGTATGCAAACCCAGCCCCAATAGTGTTCAAGGGTTCATTGTAAAGTATCCATCTGAGCATAATTAGTTTGTACAATCTGGAATAGTATTATTCAACTAGGATTTTGGATTCAGATCGCTAGTGGATCAATTGATTATTATTAGTAATTACATCTTTTCAACCAATAAAATCTTCAAAGTAAAACGTGAACTCTAATTGGCTTTTATATTTCAGCAACGAACCGTGGACGTCGGAACACGAATTAAGGCTGCGGGAGCATGTTTCCAGATTGAAAGCGGAAAGAAGCAACATTCAGGGCACTTACGTCACTTTGGAGTCTACTCAAGTGGAAAATGCCCCTGTGAGGCCCTCCAGCAGTCAAGAGGCTAGAAAAATGGACCTCGAAATGGCCGTATTAATGCAGGTAGAATATTTTATTTATTTTTAAATCAAAACGTATGTTAGAAAATTTGACCATTTTATCCATATACAGGGGAATGTTTGGAGGCTTATATTGAGCTGCACATAAATTAACAGCTGCTCTCCGTCTAGTACCCACATAAAATTAGAATTCTTACAAAAAGATGCTACTAATATATCATTATTTTTTTTGTAGGAATTAATGGGTCTTCGTGAGGACAAGACTGAGCTACTGTCAAAGCTATTTATAATAGAAAAGGACAAGAATGCTCTCGAAATTAAACTAAAATATGTGGAAGGCCAACAAAAAGCACAATCGGCAACTTTAAAAAATCTTCAAGGACAACTCAAAGACACAGAAGCTCTTTTGGCGCTAGCAACCCAACATAAGGTTTGTTTTGAAATTCTTTTGGTAAGTTGGACTATAATCTGCTTTTTTTTATAGGAAAGAGGTTACTGTGATGCAGAACATGCTCAGGGTGTCGAACTGGAACTAATGCAAGCACTAGCACGAGAGGCAAGACTGAAAGTTAGACTACAAGAACTAGTAACAACACTGGAACAAGTTACGAAAAATGCTGAGGCTAGGCTTTTGGAGGGACGGGAAATTGTACAAGATTTAAATCACACGAATAGGTTAATATTTTGTTTAAATTTTACTTCTCAGTTTGAAATATTTTTTTCTTATAGCATTCTCTCTGATACAGTCGATCGAAATAATAAGAAGTATCAAGCCAAGTTTAAAAAGATGGAGCACCAAATGTTGAATATGGCTGAAAAACATACTGCACAAGTAAGAATTGAATTTAAACCTAAATAAATATTTGATTTGAAAATTTTCAGGTACACACACTTCAGCAAAGAATAGCAACCCTAGAAACACCACCTACGAATAGTTCAGAGAATTCCTTAAACTCTATTCCTATGTAGTTTGAAAAAAAAAAGTATTTATTTTGTAACCCTTGTGAAATGCTTTTAACAATGTTGTTATGTTGTGATGAGAGTAGTGAAAGTCAAAGAGATGTAACTCGCAATAGGAAGAAAATATTGTGGATTTGTGCTAAAAAATATTTGACGGATTGTAATTTATTTTAACAGTGCGTTTCTTTACCAAAGAAGAAATAGTGCCCTGTCAAAATAAAATATAATATGGAAAGCATATACTAGCTTCAGTGAATAATTATTCTTCCATGGATGTTAATATAGATAAGAAAGATTTGCCTCGCTGTGATTAAAATAAGAGAACGGTAAATTTGGTAGCGAATTCCTAGATAGGTTTTAAACCTTTTCTTGAACTCATTTACCATAAAAGAGAAGACTCCAACTAACCCAAACTATCTACTATATTGTGATTCTAATTTTCATAAAAGCAATAAAAAATTGTGTATTAGTGACCATATCAAAAGATTTCAAAATAAATGTTGAAAAATATGCAATAAATTTGGAGTTTTCTGTTTTATATTTACAATTATTTTTTGTAATTTTTGTTATTGTAATAGTTTTTTAACATTTAGCACAGAAATGTAGCAATTAATAATTGTTTGTAAAAAAATTATATAATTTAAAATATTTAATCTTATAGCTAAAATTGTAGATTTAGTAGATAAGGTATTGTTGAGTAACATTAATGACTTACCAGTTTTAAAACTTTTTTATTTTACAAAATGAAATTTTATTTATTGTCTTTATATGTTCGTAAAGCATTCATCCACAAAAACCATGTTATACAAAGTAAAATAATATGTGATATTTTTAATTTAAATCTCAAACTTAAGCCAAAAAATAATTTAAAAAATTTTGAAACAATATTTTAGTAAATAGTATGAATGCCTATGAATAATATAACTTTTAGCATTTAATGCATTTATTTATTTGAATTTTGTTTGTTTCAAAATAAGTATATAATTAAGATCAGCTTAAGCCTAGTGCAAGTATCTAAATGTAGATATACATTCGGTACAAAAATTTGATAAGTGCTAATTTAAAGCAATCGTTTCCTTCAAAATATTATACTAAAAGTAATTAAACAAATTTTATAGTATGTATCTTAATTATTATGTAATAAATATTTATTTTATATTGTGACATTTAAATAAAGTAACGTTAATGATATAGATTTTTGTGTTATGTTTGAAGGTCCGGAATTTCTATTCTATTTTTTTTTTCCAGGAAATCTTTCCCCAACTTTTTCAAGCCTGAAAGTTTTAAGTTTACTTGTTTTCCCACCGATGTTCTGATTGTGTAGTTTGGTTCACTCTACTCTATCTGAAGCCGTGTACAGACTGAATCTCCAATGCTAGCCAACGGCACATGTAAACTATGTTGGAACGCGTTGGCTTTGGTGTGTACGGCGGCCGCGAATCGAGACTTGTGCAATCGTTCTCTTGATGTGAGAAGTCTTGTAACTAGAAAAGGTGGCAGACAATGACTGATTACACTCTGAGCACCTAATTCTTGTTTGTTGACAAATACTTAATAGGGTGCGTAGTAACACTCTGTAGTAAGCAGGGCCGAGTTCTGAAATAACGCACAGGGTGCGAGTGCGATTTTATTGGTGTGCCTGAATTGACAATTGGCCATTGGGCCCATAGCACCGTCTAGCATTTTTGAACAGCTAGAGCGTCGCACCGGTGTCACACTCACACTGGGTGTGTCATTCCTGAACTCGCCCCTGTTGACTGCTAGGTGTGATTGAGTACAAACAACTAATGATTTAATACTAATTTATTTAAAGAACTGTAGCACTATTTATACACAAATAAATGAAATATTTACAAAGGTAATTAAGTAAATAAATAAATTGAAGTGCAGAAAAAAATGGCTTATCTGTGATTAGACATTCTCGCCACTAGGCTTCAGGGACTTCGGCTTCTCATTGTGTGGAGTTGGAGTTGGTGTTACTGAACATAATGGCTCTAAGGTTAACGTTTGGTCAGCCAAGGCTTGTCCTGGTGTGTGGGTATTGTGCCTACTGGAATTCTTTCTTTGCCAATACAACCATATTAGAAGCATTGCAGTCACTTCCAGTATTAGTAGTACTATGGAGCTAATAACAATTAGATGATGGTGTACTTGAGTCCATTTGATGTCTCGTAATTGTTGATCGATGTCTTATTCTTCACTCTGAAGATAAGACAGTTGATCGGAGGCATCAATAAATTGTTCGTCGTAGGGAATCATGGGGATTTCCTTGGTAGGTTGAAATGTTTCTAAACTTAGTTCTACTGGGCGGACGAAAGCTCCTAAAATAGTAACAGATTCCGATTTTCTCGGTGTCAAAATATTTTTTTGTTTTAAGGACGCAATTTGATGAAATTTCGATAATTGCGATCTGGTTTATTGTAGCCTCTTCTCTGATACCATCGCAGATAATCGCAAGTTTGGCATGATTTATTTTCAGTTCTGTGGTAAACATCGTCAATTATGCAGTTGGGGGTGCCGGTAGTGATGGTAGGTGAACAAACATAAACATTTTGACTGACGTTTATGCTATCGGGTCTTCAAAAAAAAAACAATCAAAGACTGCTCTGATTACGAAAACGTACGTCGAATTATTATTTCTTTATTGGTCGGGATTTTTGACATGACATTTTGACATTAACGTTCATTGACAAAATTTAAAAAAATATTGCTAAGACATACATTTAAAAAACCATAGCAATCTTTGATTGGTTTTTTTTTTGAAGACCGATATCTCAAAATTCTCCTTCCGTCAGGTCAAAATACCACTGAGAATTATAATCAGCTGCTAGTAGTAGGCTTGTAAGTTCTAACCATTTCCAGCATTATTTCACACTAGTGAAATTGGATTTCAAATTAATGAAAACTAAATTCACATCAGTGAAATCTAATTTCGCTCAAATGAAAACTGATTTCAAAGTAACGAAAACCAATTTCTCATAAACGAAATTTGATTTCACATTTTCGAAAATGAATTTCAAACTAACCATCACTTTTCAAACAATTATTATTTTATTTTGAAAAAAAATCAACATCGTTATTTATTTCAACCTAATGGAATAAACCCACTGAGTTTATATAGATAACAAAAAATACAATCATGAACCAACAATATTAATTTTAAATTATTTAAATAAATTGAACTTCAATTGAGTCTTCTCACTCTTAAGACAGCTGCATTATACCTTTCCACGTGATTTGCAAAACTGAAGACAAATTTATTTATGGACGACCCACACTGTAAGAATTTATTACGTAACTCATATTAGTATGTTTGAGTTACGTAATAGATTGTATTATCGTACTTAGTGATGTAATAAGCTCATAACGAAACTCATTACCATTGAAAACGGCACTTTTTAAAATTACTTTATTCGAAAAAATTATTAATTTAGTCTATTGTAAAAAATTAAAACTATTTCGAATACATACAAAAAAATCTCGGTCGTACATAAAATGTTGTATATCACACGTACGGTAACGCTCATTACACCACTCGTGTGATTACCACGACTCGGTCTACGACCTCGTCTTGGCAATATTCACCACTCGTTACTGTAATGAAGCTGATACCGCACTAGTGATATAAATAACTATTAAATAATTCAAAATTATTATTGTTGTTTCATGATTGTATTTAATGTAATCTTAACTCAGTGGGTTTATTTCATTAGGTTGAAAGAAATAACGATGTTGATGTTTTTTCAGAATAATAATTGTTTGAAAAGTGAGGGTCAGTTTGAAATTCATTTTCGAAAATGTGAAATCAAATTTCGTTTATGAGAAATTAGTTTTCGTTACTTTGAAATCAGTTTTCATTTGAGCGAAATCAGATTTCACTGATGTGAATTTAGTTTTCATTAATTTGAAATCCAATTTCACTAGTGTGAAATAATCCTGGAAATGGTATAGAATCCAGTACGCATTCTTTTCGGTCTTGACTGGAAAAGGTGTTAGGATTAACAGAACGAAATCGTTGATTTCTGTCCTCATAAAGTATCCATGGACATGGATAAATTAATCGCTGTGACAGACTTCAGTACGTAGGTAGGAAATGATATTGATGTTTGACGGCAGTTTCTGGGATGCGGATGCAATGATTTCTTCGGCATGTGCTGGAGATATTAGTTCGTGAAGGTTTGCTCGATGATAATGTAGGTACCTATGTATGAATAAGGAAGGGAGTGTTATAATTTTATATTTATGGAAAAAAAACTTGGCAATGGGCTCTATTCTTTAGCCTAAGAGAATATCGAATAGCCCTTTTTTGCAATTTAAAGATACGCTCAAATTGAGTCGCACCGCATGTACCCCAGAATGGAAGGGCGTATCGAAGATGTGATTCGAATAGGGCAAAGTAGACTGATCTAGAGGTTGAAAAGTTAAGTTCCTTGGAAACAGATCTTATTGCGAAACAAGCGGAGCTCAATTTTTTGGACAAAGCATCGATGTGCAAGCTCCATTTCAGGGACTTTTCTATAATAAGGCCCAAAAACTTCACAGAATCAAGGACGTCAATAATAGTGGTGTTATTAAGTGCAATAGGGTTGCAACGTACTTTTGTATGACAGAACTTTGGTTTTCGCGGCGTTGAAACAGAGAAGATTAGAGTCGCACCATGATTTAATGGTAAACAAATCATTGGACATGGTTCTATGTAGTGCTACAATATCCGGATTGCTCCAAGTGACACTAGTATCATCAGCAAAGAGGTAGATTTTACCGTTGATGTCTAGACTAGTAATGTCGTTGATAAACTGCAAAAATATTATTGGACCCAACACGGAACCCTGTGGAACTTCACATTCCATTGGCCTGCATAAAGACATCGGCGTATCAACCCTCACAAGTTGTTTTCTGTTGTTAAGATACGACTTGAACCATTCCAGTGGAAAACCCTCGAATTCCGTAGTACTGCAATTTGTTGATTAGGATATTATGACTTACACAGTCGAATGCTTTAGAAAAAT